GTTCTTTATCAAGAAATTTTTTCGTTGAGTTTCAATCTGAAACAAGTTCAAAATCAGTAAAAAGACACCTATGGATAGAACATTTCAAAAGTTTTCTCTTCCAATTCATTTTCTTTGATACAAATATAGACAGATTTAATTGACTTTCATTATATTTTCTAAGCAAAATTAAAAAAAAAAACTATTCTTCTCATTGATCTATTATGAATAAGAAGTTTTTCTAAGCCTTATTATAAATATTTTCTATCGAAGAACTAACAAATAGATTTTCATATTCTAGAATCTCATACAATCTACTAACTATTTGCATTTCTCTTTATCTGAGAAAAAAAAACAACGAAAATGAAAATTTTTCCTATAATTCAATGGGTGACTTTCAAACATGTTGAAAATTTAAGAAAAATTCAATAAGAAAAATCTTACCTGTTGGCAATGAATATATAATATCTTCAAAGAATAAATTAAATTTATTTGAAATATTTAATTCTTTTCAACGTTAAATTATTTTTATTTCATTTAAATAGAATCATAAATTCTTCGTTGGTATATAAATTTTTATAACACTATCTTTGACATCATCTTTACAAATATTATTTTGATTTTTTTTCGAACAAGTAAACATTTGAGGTTAAATGTCTTCTTAATGTCCTTCTAATATAATATTTTTCATTGAGTAAATCACCAATATCATTTAGATTTAATGTCGTATATTGATGAAAATTCATATTCATTATTAAAAGTTTTGTGATTATTATCCATGTATTTTTATTAAGATAGATTTCTCTTGATTGTTGATTTGTTCTTGTTGTCATATTTCTTTTTCGTATTGGTTCAGTTGAATAATCAAACATATATTAAAAGAAAAACTACTCCGGTCAGGTAATATTTCGATAAATCCAGGTGTCAAGTTAATGATTCAATTCAACAGAATTCCATTAGTCGGATCTGACTGACCGTAAACATGACGATAATACGTCGTTCTATGGATTATGTCAAAATACTATTCTGTTCTAAGCTTCAATCGATTTCTAATAGAATTTAATCGAAATCAAGAGAATCCTATGGCGTAAATTTCATCTCAGATTATGAACAACGATGGCTACATCACAAAATTCACTAATTCTATTTTTGATAGTTTTCTCATTGCTAAATTTCGTCTTAAAAAACAACAAGGAAGAAGAAGAATATTAAGAAGTCAGGTTCGTTTGGAAAATTTCTTTTTTCATCAAGAATTCAAAATGAATTCTGTATATTTCATTCTTTTTCGTTAAACATTTCGAATTACTCGAAATATCAGAACAGCATATTTTCATGTTTTTTTATCTCCATGAAAAAAAAATCAATGTATTTAAATCGATTGAATACTTTATATATCAAAGTTCGATTTCTTTCTTCCTTATGAAAGTATCTAGTTTTCATATCAAATAGATGTATTTTGCATACAAGTCATTGATCAATAACTTTTCGCTCAAAAAAACAAAAAAAAAAGAAGAGAAAATTAACCCGCAGAGTATTCGAAAAATTCGATGATTCAAATAAAATCACAATGAAATTAATTGGATAACTTTGATTTTTGTTAAAAAATGAAAGTCATCGATGTGAAGAAATGCGAAAGCAATGAAACTATTGTAGTGATTTTGATATTTTTCACAATAATCAACATTCATAAATTTTTTTTTATGAAAATTGGGAAAATAAGCATTTAAAATGGGATATTTTATTTCACGGGTATTATTCTCCAATATAGGGCTCATTTATATTGTGTTTCAAGATGATGATAATAGTGCATCGGGAGTATTCCTCAAGAAAATTCCATGATCATAAAACACTACTTTACAACATACACTAGAACGCAACTCGGATCGGATCACGTCGAGTCGAATTGACTCTACAGTTTGAATATGTTGTAGATGGAAAAGTCATTTTAAGTGTTCTTTTTTCTTTTATCAGTTCTATCATAGACAGTGCATTGCAAAAAAAGATATGTTCCATCTATGTCTTGTTTGTGATAGTGCCCTAGGTACTACCACAGAAATGTGTTACAATCTTCTGGTTAGCCATTTATTTAACAATATTCTTGTGCATGCATCTACATATAACTAACTTTGTTGAACATAGTGAACTTGTACATTTTTATATATGTAACATTATTTTGAAATGAATGATGATGCATTTTTTTAAAGATTGATACAAATAGAGCTAGAACGAAAATGTTAATAAAATTAGAATCAATGATTGTACTCTTCTAATTCAATTTTTTTTGTTTATAAGTAAATGTAATGGAATTGTGCTACAATACAAAACTAATCAAGAATTTCTTTCTCTAATTAGATTTCTATAACTCGGCATGAAAATTCTAAATTTTCTCAGCCAACATGGTGTTGTTAAGATAAATTAACTTTTCTCGGTCTTTATATTGGCTTATTTAACTTTTATCACATGAAAAAAATAGAATTTTCTTAAGCAATATTTATCAATCAATAGTCATAACTAATTCTCTTAAAGAATTCTGACATCATACGAACGATCATAAACAATATATTGATTCAACAATCAAAGACAGCATTTATTTTTTAAAAGAAAAAGAAACTTTTTTTAAATGATGTTTTTATTATAACAATAATTTTGAAAGTTAATGAAACAAATATCAATTAGTTTCTTGTCTAATGGGTTTAAAATAATCAAGCCAGTTCCATAGCTTCATGAGTTTCTGTTGCTTTAACTTTTTCATTAACTACATCATATTCAATCTTTTTTACATTTATTGATAAAACCTCAGTTGTTCCTTTAGTCAATGTATAATCAGCTTGTCTTAAGAAGAAAAAAAAAAGAATAAAATAGAAATAAAAAATAAAATAGAAACTTGAAAATATTTACTTTTCAGTACGAACAGCAATAATTTCATATGATAAAAATTTATCTAATATTTCTTTTGTTAATACATACATATTAATTTTACTTCCAGAAAATAAATCTGTTATGGTAGATGCATAGAGTGCATCACGTATCAATTGTTTTGTTTCATCTTCCTTTAAAAGAAAATGTTTATTTGAAAAAGAAAAAAAAAAAAACAATTTTTAAAATTAAATTTTCTTTCATTTTGGCTTTCTAACGGTCTTCAATAACGGATAATGATGTATATCCACCAGAGCCTAAATTTGATATTCTGATAAAAATATTCAATAAAAATAAATTTTACCTGAAGCAACAAAAGGTAAAAATGAGATGCTTCTATGAGGATGAACTGTTGCCATATGAGAACCAGTTACATCTACATCAACAATAATTAAATAAGCACCGAGATAACCTTGATGTTTAATTTAAAAAAAACAAAAGCTTTTTAATTTCATAAATAAACTAATAGAAAATGATACCTGAAAAGATGTTGTTGGATTTTTCTAACAGCTGTCACAACACGAACTTGTCGATCTTGATTTAATTTAAATAATTCAAGTTGAGATTCAAGTAAACGTGCTTGAAAATCACAATCAGCTGATGTTGCTGCACCAAGTGCATAAATATTATCTGATAAACGATAGATTTTTCATACATTATTATCAAATATTATATCTTCTGCTGGACATCGACTATCAGCAGCAATAACAATGGCATCCTTTTAATTAAAATTAAATTTACTTTTTATTAGAAAAATTGAATTAAATACTTTATAGGCAACTGCAGCAATGGTTGTACCAGTTTTATGGATTTTACCAGGTAAAACACCATTTTACAATAAAACTTCATTTCTAAAAGAAAGATAAAAAACGAATAAAATAAATTAAAGAATGAAATATTACCGACGACGATTATCAAAAACAAATCCACCAGTTGGTTGTTCAAAACCCAGACCAGAAATTACTTTTCTTTTACAAGTTTCTTACAAATAACTAACAAATCTTCATCGACAATAAGAAGCCATAAGATGACTCATACAATGGTGTTAATTCGTATGTTGCCCTCTATTAAATAAAACATTTAGAATTCTTTTTCAAAAATTCAATAAAACACGTTTATTTTTATTTTTACTTCATTGTTAAAGAAAATATTATTTATCTCATATTAATTTTTTGATGGTCACTTTCGAACCAATCACTTTCTTTGAAATAACAATAACCATATTTATGTATGAAGATCAGTGTTTTTAATGAACGAGTGTACCCAGCAAAACAACGGGTATGGTACCCTAATAAAAATATATTTACACACTCTTTTACACGTTGATGAAAAAAATTGGCATGTACGCTGTACACACTGAATTTTTATTTTACACTTTGATTTTTCTATTATCTCCATGCTTCTGCTGTATGTACAAAAATATAATTTATGTATTGAACATCATGAAAATTTTATACGTAGACCCGGTTTAATTTGAAATAAGACAATAATTAACACGTTGTAATGATTTGTATTGAAACGTGCCGTTGTTCATTCACAACATCATCAGTTAAAAAAATTACATAAAAAATCCAATAAAAAATTTAAAATAAAAATCACAAGAGTACAATTGCACTGTTGTAATTCTCATTTTAAATTTTTTATTTGTTTTTTTTATCTATTAATTTTCTTAACTGATGATGTTGTGAATGAATAGTGGAACGTCTCAGTATAAATGACCAAAATGTCTCAAATTGAAGTAAACTTCGTTTAACTTTCGTTTTTAAGTGTTGTACATAAAAATTTATTGTATAGTTGAAAATTCGTATTTGAGCTCTATCCAGGCCCCGCGAAAGTGCGGGGTGTAGGGGGGTGTACACCCCCCCAATAATTAATAATTACTCATTCGTAGCCAACAAAATCCATAAATCTTTTTGAAATTTTTTGCTAGAAAATTCTGAAGGGATGTTTAAATTTTTCGCTTCGCGAAAACATGACCACCGGAGCGTATTCGACCTAGAAATATCTGTGATTTTTCTGTTTTTAACGCAATTTTACTTTTGTCTTCTTTTTGAAGAGCTTTATTTTCCAACAGTCGTCACTAGCGTGGTCGCCTTCGGCGGCGAAATCTCTAAGAGTTATCGCAACACTTTTTGCTTTCGAACAACATAAGGGAAAAGAGTTTTTCGTGAGTCTGAAAAATGTTCTCGCTTCGCGAAAAATAACAATTGTGTAACCGCAGTTAACTTAGACAAACTTCCTATTGTCCGATTCAAAATAAAAGGCAGGTTACCATTTTTCGAATAACTTTTGATAGGAACGAGATAGAGAGGTGCGGTTTTCACAATTCGAAAGAGGGATGTCTGGGCCATCGATCGGTATCGAACTCATTAAGACGGAAGATGCTTTTTTTTTATAGGTACCTTTGGATCAACACTTTTTCTTTTGAGTATTTTCATCAATTTTCACGATAATCTCAGCTCAAATTATGTCAAAATGTAGCTCAGATCACCCTCTTTTCGCTATAAAATTATCACATATTTTATTATCTCTCAATCGCTTATTCTAAGCGGGTTCAAAAAAAAATAAATGTTAATTTTATAGCGAAAAGAGGATGATTTGAGGTACATTTTGACATAATTTGAGTTGAGATTATTCTAAAAATTGATGAAAATACTCAAAGGAAAAGTGTTGATTCAAAGGTACACATTAAAAAAAAAATCTTTCGTCTTAATCAGTTCTATACCAATCAATGGCTCGGACATCGCTCTTTCGAATGGTGAAAACCGCAGCTCTGTATCTCGTTCGTATCAATAGTTATGCGAAAAATGGTAACCTGCCTTTCATTTTGGTTCGGATAATACTTTAGTCAACTTTTCCTTTGAAACAGCTTGATGTAGAGCAATTTACACCAAAGTGGTCGCTTTCGATAACGGCAGTATCGAGAAATTTTCTCATATTGGACTCGAGTTCTCTTCTTGAAAATTTGCGAGAAAAAATCAAATTTTTTAAGGAGGTTGCAAAAAGTTGTCGCTTCGCGAAAAATGATTACATTTTAGGCCCGCAAAAAAAGATTAACATCAGATCTGATGCGAAAAAAAGTTTGCTTCCCTCAGTTTTGACTGCCTTGAAATCTCGTCACACCCCCCCAATCTTGGGTCCCTCGCGCGGGGCCTGGCTCTATCTATTTATGTTTCATATAGTGTTGGCTTTTTTGTTTTATTTTTTTGAAGATTTATGTATCTACAAGTGTGGATAAATAGAGTTTCATAAAAATATCAGTTGATATTTTTCATTCAGTCAAAGTTCTTTTTGTGATTTGAAAACGTTTTATTTTTGTTTTATTTTTCAAATCATCTTGTCTTCATTAAAATCAAAAATGAAATAAAATATTTTTAAATAAAAAATGTCTTTTATGGACAGAAAAACGTTTCGCATTTCTTGTACATTTTGTACACTTTGCCACAAAAAACCAAGTGTACAGATACATGGCGTTCTAAAAAACACAGTGTACGCATACATTCTATTTCAGATTCTCATTAAAAACATTCATGAGGATTAAAAATGATTAAAATAAAGCAACAACATGACAATCAACACAAATGCTACAAAATACAACGGCTCAAATTGCTTTATAAAAGAGAACAAGTTAAAGAATTAAAAATTAAAGCAAACGCAGCAACAAAACAAAAACAAATAAAAGAACAACAAGGGTGTGGGTGTGGCTGGGTATGGGTGTGGCTGGGCATGGGTGTGGCTGGGTGGGTGTGGCTGGGTATGGGGGGGTGGGTGGGGCTGGGTATGGGTGTGGGTGGGTGGATGTGGGTGTGGGTGAGTGTGGCTGGGCATGGGCGTGTATGAAGTTAGAACACGCACACTCTCACTCACACTCATGCCCAGCCACACCCAGACCCACACCCACTCTATATTCTTAAATATTTTTTTTTTATTAATTATATATATGCTAATGTCATTCGTTGATCATATGCACTTGATACACACTATTGATATATCGATACGAACGCTTGACGTTTAAATAAACTAGTATTAACTATTTTCATTTGTTTTTTTTTTCGTTTTATGTTTTTCATTGTTAATAATGTGCTTGTTTGTTTGTATATATATCTATATATATGTATACATGAGTCAATTTCGTATCGAACAATAGTGTTCTTTTTTTTTTGTAAAATTTAAATAAATCAAGTTTATTGTCAATCAATCTGTTTGATTTTGTTTTCAGCTTAGACTCTAATAAGAAGAACGTATGGCTTGCTAAAAAACACCTAGAATGAAACATTTTGGATGAAAAAATATGGAAGAGTAACAATGTCGATAAACGAAAATATCAAAAATATATTTCTAAAGCAAATGATGACCAAAACTACTTGTAACTCATTCTTGTTTTTCTCATAATTCTAGAAGTGTGGTGTTTGAACGATTAGTAATGATGCTGACTAAAACCTATTATAGATTATATGAAAGAGTTGAACGAGTGGGTGTTAGACAATTGAAATTCGATTGTCATGACTGTTTCTATTCGAGATTCAAAATTGTTAAAATGAACTACAATTCCTAGATATTCGATGCACTTGCAATAGGATAAATCATCTATGTTCAGAGTAGATGAATATAGATTCAAATTAAATGAAACAACAACAATAACTGTTAACTATTTGATATACACACTTACATAGTGTTCTGCTAGGGTTGATATCAGATATGGATGAATCACAATACAAGCACGTCCGATTCTTCGCCTGGAAGTCGGTGGTGGCGGACCACAGCTAGATTTAACGCTGCTCGTATCATCTGAAAAGACTACTTTTATTCTCTCGACTAAATGAGGGTCATACGTTCGAAAATGCGTTTGCTTGCTTGCTTGTCTGCTTGAGGTCAAAAAACATCCATTAGAAATAAATTTATAATAAGTCACCCAGGCCTCGCAGCAGTATTACTTTTCTGATTTTTTATAAGTGTCCTGATTTTGACTGAAAATTCTGATTTTTTCCTAATTTATTCCTATAGCGCTATATATAAACGGTTATAATTCATTCTTTTATTATAATCAATTTATTTTTCAAACTTTATCCAAAAATATCTATAGGATATCTTAAAGCAAAAATAAAGATGATGTTCAAATATTAATTATGTCAGCCTTTCGTCTTTTCTTTTTTTTCTTTCGTAATCGATGTAAGTTTTCAACATTTTTACATAATTGAGTTTTCAAAATAGTTAGCGTCGCATTAGCAATCAGATGTGTATCGTGTCTAAAAACTAGGTGAGTGCGACGGTGCAAAGGTCGACAATGGTCGCAAAACATCGGTGAAGTCGACCATCGCGCTAAGATGTTTTTGCTCAGCGGGCGTGCCAAATGACAAGTAGAGATTTTTTTCATATCTGTTGCACTATTATATTTCTTTAAAATATTGTTTCCTTTCCGAACACTTGTGTAGGGAGAACAATATAGAGTTGAAAACACCACGAATGGTCATTTAATTAGCAAATATGTAGACAAACATATAATGGATGGCGCATAATGAATGAACCATTTTTCTTCTGTATTTTCGAGAATCTTAAAAAGTTTCTAGAAACATGATTTTTAGAGAAAAAAAAATAGAATTTTCTGCTTTACAAGAATATTAACTCCGTAGATAAAGTATTGTCTTCATATGCAAACAGACTAAATAGAAAAAAGTATGAAAATCAGCACTGTCTCTTTAATAGAGCAGAACTTATTCTAAAAGTTATATCTGAATACTTTTTTTGATCGATATGTCAACATCAAATCTTTATCTTTGAATAAAAATGTTTTACAAGACTGCCTGCATTTCTCAAAGTGAATTTCCAGTTTGAAACAGTTAAATTCATAGAAAAAAATTTGTTGAAATAGTTAAATTATAACTCTAATAAGAAAGGAAAGATAAATCACATCATTGACTGATTAAACGAAAGATGCAGTGAGCGTTGAATATAATATTAGATGGAAACATTTCTTCGAAGAACTGCATTGAAGCCTATATTGAACTCAAAATAACAAGACAATCAATATACAGGGTGTCCCATAAATAACACCCAGATAAGAAATTTAAATATCTTCATCAGATGTCGACCAATCGATCTGAAATTTTTACCAGTGATAGAGGCATATTCAAAGTTTATATCCATAAAGACATGCCTAGAGAGACCATTTGCTAAGTATCACTATTGACCACAAGACAAAAATTTGACTTTTCCACAGATAGG